TAGATTGTGGGATTTTTGCCCATTCTTGCTTCAAAACTTGGAGTAGATCACTCTTCGAAGTTGGTTTTTTGGTTGTTTCTTGACTTGGTCGAGTATGGCCCAGAAGCTTTCGATGGGGTTCATGTTAGGAGATTGGCTCTGCCAGGGCAACTTCTGGATACCATTTTCTTCCTGCCACTTTTGGGTGTTTCTAACAGTGTGACACAGTGCTCCATCTTCCTGGAACAACGTTGTGTTCTTGTCCATGAAACCTGAGGAATAAAGTGGCAAGAGTCCTTCCTCAAATATTTTGACGTATTTCGCAAAATTTATGTTTCCAATGCACTCCACTAAGCTCGATCTCCCACCAACCCAAACAGCTGCCCAAACCATCACATTGAAACCACCATGCTTCACAGTTGGCTGCAATCTGTTGAGCCAAACCTCTTGGTGAGGCATTCTCCAGACCCATATCCTTTCACTGTCCAAAAATTGAGCGAATCTTGATTCGTCTGAGAACAATACAGTCTTCCAAAAGTCCCGAGGCTTGGTCATCATATCAAGCTGCTTCTGTCTAGCTGCTCTACAATGATAACCCAATCTGTGGAGAATCCGTTGAACAGATTTCGGGCTCATCCCACCAACTTTGGCCACTCTCTCAATATGTGGAAACTGTACTGAACTATTATTAAGAACCTTTACTTGAAACACAATAGACGTAAGTACTGTCACTAATTTATATTTGCACAACAAACACGTCCTGATGCTCGTCCAATAACTATCAGTTTAAGTCCCTTTGTGTTCATTCCAGAATGAAATATGCATAATTTATGTTTATTTCATAATTTTTTATGGTGGTTGCTAGATCGTTCAAATTTTCCGGACCCGAACAGAAATTAATTACTGAAGACAATATATAAAATGTTAAGTTTTCTCATTTTATTAGAGTAAACAATGTGTATATTTATAACAGTGTCTCCAGCCTTATTATTATTGATTATAGTTTTACAGGCCGCTACAGAAAAAACGGCTACGAATATTTTGCTGAAACTTGGACATTAGTAATGAATGCAGTATTGAGTATGTCATAGGGTAGTTCTAAAATTAATTCAAGCGTCTACGTTTGCTCGTCATGAAGAATTTCTCGACGTTATTTACTTTCCGCCATTGAAAAAATCCGGTATTTTACTAATGCACATTTATTTTCTATTTGGAGAATCATTTGTGCAACTTATAGTGCGTTAATTGGAAACTACTATTCTGAGGATTCATCATTTCTCTAGTTCGCCGTTCTTCATTGTTTCTCGAGTTTGCTGTTGTATTTTGTCTTCACGTGGTTTTCTGCGACTATTTTAGTGAGTTTTGTAATAGCAGACGATTACCATTGTTTCCATCCTAGTTTGTTTACTTTTTTTAGAGTTTCTTGTTGTAGGCTTGAAAATATAATCTTTGCATTTTGATTCAACTTTTTTCTGTACATTTTTGACGATCCCTATTCCCCCTTTTAAATTAACAATTTTTAATTATATTGTATGACACCACATCCCGTATCCCGATAGTATAGTTTATTATGCCATTTTTATTTAGTCCATTTGCTAAAAAACTATTAACACGTAGAGATGTTGTTTTATCGTTCAAGGAAATAGGAGTGTGTACACTGAGTGGTCACAAGTAGATAGACACCTAATTTTTCGTCATTTAACTGATTTATGCTAACTAATTTGTGTTCACAGAGCACTATATAAATAAAAATGATCCGCACACTAATCATCTTGTGCTACAACATATCTAGAACTCAAGGTTCTCTCGAATTGTCAGATTTTGTTAGAGGAAGGATAGTTGGTCAAGCAGATGGTGGAATAAGTCAGTGGCAAATTTCGCAGAGTTTGGGAATCCCACTTTCGACAGTCAACAGAATCATCGTGCAGTTCAGGAAACACGGCAAGGAAACAACTGAGCAGCGTCCGGGTCGTCCTGGTCCATCGGAGAGGACAAAAAGGGCTGTCAAGAGGAGCATCGAAATGGATCCCAGATTAACGACTGCAGAATAACTGAACTTCC